TGCATTTACACATAATCAATGTACAATCTAGTTTATTATGTACATACACAATGTATGAAATCCGACCGGCAACTTACCCACGGTGCACATGGGATAATGCCAATGCCGGCGGTGGATGATAAAAATGCACAGGTAACTTTGGAATATATCTCTGTGCAAAAAAAAATCATACGCGTAATTTCTTTTTTTTTATTGAAGGTAAAAATCAATCTTTATGTGATGCCGTAAATAAAATTTCCGAAAAAATTTTTTCCAGTTCTATGAATCCTGTTGGGATACGCAATTTTTGTTATCGAAATCACGTCGTCACTTTTCAGGAGATAGCGCGGCGAGAATGTTATAAAGCAAAAATCCAACAATGGCTCCTAAATATTTTATCTTTGAAACTAAAAAAAGAGAGAGAGAGTTTGCACAATAATTTCACGAATGGTATGTGTCCATTCAAGTTTCACGAATTTTGCCTATGATTTTCTGTAATATCCTCATCCCACCCACAGTCCTCCCAAAAGCGAGGGCGTGATTTTTATAGCAGAAATATCGTCCGTTTAGAGAATGTTTAAGATATTTATGACGTCTACTGTGCACGTCGCGCGCCCGCCCTTTCGCTCCGCTCGCCCCATTTCTGTCCACGAAAAGCCGATCCTGCACCGGGAGGCATAAAGTTTCGATGTATTGCGCGCAATCGCTTGTAAACCTCACCTATAATACACGCCTATCTAGGACGGGGAAATGTCTATAACCGATAACCGATACGACGCGCACGCGTGCATGTACGCGCGTGGTATGTATGTGTATACATGGATGCGTTGCACATTTGTGAGTACGAATTGTGTGTACTTATGAGTACATGTGTCTGTGTCTGCGTGTATGTCTGTGTGCTTGTTTGCGCGCGTGTCGAATGTAGCAATCGCTACATCCGGCTATGCGTTTTACTTTATTGGCTTTGCATTCGCGCGCATTTACTCTGTGAATAATAACCGCTGCTGTAATTGCGACCGACAGATACTGCTATTTTAACATTACTGTGTACTATCGGTTTTATTAAAGCTCAGACGGAATGCCACGTGGCCACGTCAGACTGCCGAGCGCGCGTTAGAAATTGATTCTCGTGGCGTCGCGACTTTTCAGCGCGGGCATAAGAACGCGCTGAGAATTTTGCGGGGCGATCGTCTGCTCCCTTGGAAAGTCCATGCATCATTCCTGCCGATGTAAATTTAGTCGCTAAATGTCAAACTGTCGATACAGATCGCCATTGGCGACAGGATCGGGTTCATTAATTGCGTTTTGCCAATCGCTCATTGCGTCGCCGAGTGACGACATAAGAATTAATGATTTAATTGCTAACAAGTATTTTGTATATTATTTGTGCCTTTCAGGTGTTAACCCTGACGTCACACCTGAAAAAATATAATCTCATTCATAGCGGAAAATCCTCTGATTTCTAGAGGATTTTACTCTTATATACGAGTAGTCTGCAAACGTCGTATTGGTTGCACAAATGTTTTTACGCAATAAAAGTATCCTCACAAATAAATAGAAGTATTGCTCAATATGTGACGAAAATAAAAAAATATTTTAAATGTAAAATCTCAAGCTGTCAACGTAATATTTATATAATCTAAAATTTTTGCAGCTTTTATCGAAAGTGTGGATGCTCCAAACAGATAAACTTTGAAGAATATTGCTGTACTTTCGCATCTGAATTCAGAAGCTTAAGAATATCCGAAAAGTTTACAGAAAGATTTCTACACATATGTGTGTGTAGTTAGGTTAGTTTCCGCTGAATACGGTAAAGCAAAGCAACACATTCACGTAAATTCTGTATGTACAATAAACACGAGAAAGATAGCACGATTATGTTAGTGACAATCGTCTCTGCATTATCGAATTCATCATCGATTTCAATATCCTTTTAAGAAGACGCTGGGATCAATGGCGAACTCCAAAAGTTGCTTCGTTTTACCATATTTAGCGAAAAACATACACACACATACAGAAATCTTTCTGCAAACTTTTCCGATATTTTCAAACTTCTAAGTTCAGAAACAAAAATATGGTAATATTCTTCGAAATCCTTCTGAGCGGAACAAACTCGCGTTCAATATTTACAAGCTACAGACCTATTGTATTGGGCGAATATTTTTTTACTTTAACTGACAGTGTCTGGCACGCTAATTTACACACGAAACGTCAGTTTTGAAATTTTTTATCGTTTCTGTCATATATTGAGCGATGCTGCAATTCATTCCGGCACGTTTTATTTTTATTGTGTAAGAGCATCGTAATTCTGCGCAGCCAATACAACGTCAACTTTGTAGAAAGGTTAATATTCTGTCGATAAAGATTTCGATTTCAGTATCCTTTCGATAAAAATTTTTCCCAATAAGAGGACATTCCATTTTAAATCAATCTATCCTTCCTCGTACAAAACAAACAAAGTTGTAATATCTAATAGATTTCTAATTAACAGTCGATTTTATTGGAAAAGGAATACCCCTTTGATAAAAGTTTTCTGTCTTGGAATATCGGATTACAGGAAATAGCAACTAGAGTTCCTTTTTTTTAGAGGGGGAGGCAGGAGAGCTGACACGCTCATTTTATATATTGGTCATATATAAAAATTGATTCAAATTTATTAAATCACTTGATTTAACCGGAATGGATTCCGATCGAAATAATTCAGCTGTTCCCTAGATATCTATTGTGTTTTCTAGAAAAAACGCAGTTATTCCTGTCGAAATCGATTCCAAACAAGCCCATAACAACATCTCTGATAATATTTGAAAAAAAAGAAGCGGAAACTGCAATGCTCAGGAGTACCGGGACACGAATTCCCAGATAGCGCCCATGAGTGTAGGTAGCCCCAGCCAGGCGTACAAATCCCCGGATTATAATGGCAGCATTATTAATGAGAGAACCTGTACACACGAGATACCTGAATCTCTCACTTTTAAAAATGGATTATCAAATTGACAGCTCAAAGTCGAGCAGAATGGGCGGATTATTGCTCGATAAGATAGTCAATCGGCGGCGCGCGTCCATCGATCGTCCACGACGAAACGCAATCTAGCGCACGTATATTCCGGCCGTATCTTATTAATATCGCTAATATGGGATCCGTACACACTCTCGGCTTACCAATCAGCGGCCTCTGTCGAGAGGGCTTCGCGCTACACAAAACGGCGCCGGCAGCCAACGCGAAACGGCCGCCCTCGCAAAGCTGTCCTCCGGATCACTCTATTAAACTGACGGCGAGTGCCGGCAATATTGAGTTAGGTGGCAATACCCTAAATTGCTGCAGTAGCCCTGTGCGCGGCCTTTACTCCGGCGCACGTCGGTGCAATCGATCGCGCGCCGGGGCTACGATAATTGCCACGCAGCGCGAGACACGTGGTGGCGCTCCACCACGTCGTCTTGGGTAAAATTCCCCGAGTAAAAATCTGGACGACTCCCCTCTGATTGGTCTGGTTTCTTATTTGATCGAAAATGGCAAAATAGTAGGCCACATGAATCAGGAGACTCTATCTGGAACAAATCTTTGTTTTAAAAAGAAATTGCACATGACAGTATTTTCTTAACAAAATAAGCATATTTTTAGGAAAACAACACTTGTCTACGTTATACACTAAGGGATATTTTTATGGGAGTTATCTTAGAATATTAAATGCACTGAGAGAAATTATTTGATAAGAAATTGAGAAACGGATATTTCCGATCAAAATACCCACGAATTTTTATATCCGATCAAGATAACCGATGAAAGTTAATCGAATATTAACATTTCGACATGACGATCATAATGACATTTCATCAGATAAATTGATCATAAAATTATAAACCGATATTTCTTATCGGATGTTTCCTGATCGGATACAAAAATTTATCGATATTTTAATCGGAAATATCCGTTTGCTAATTTTTTATCGGATAATTTCTTTCAATGTAAACACCCTTCATATATAAAATTTCTAATGATAAACCAGACGCCATTTTCGATCAAGAAGTCGCCGATGTCTTACTTGAGAGATTCTAGTGTTGAGCTCCATGCAGTTCAACTCGTTTCTCGAGCCTCGAGTTCGAAAATTCCGCGATCAATTCGCGACCAATTCGCGAACATTACAAGCGAGGAAAATCCGTCGGAATGATACGGATCGAGTCACAGAACTCAATTCCAGAACTATATTCGGCAAACTAACTATCTTGATTCTTCAGTGCAATTTTGTTGGAATTCTTTCGAGTTCTTTTAGTCTCTTGTTTGCGCGAAATTTTTAGTTCAACATTTGATTTCAACTCAGAATTTTATTTATTAAGACAGTCATTAGACTGACCCAACGAATTACGGGTTATATATATCATCTACTCCATTTAATATTTCAACCAGAAGCAGGACTGTTTGTGTTGTACAGCTAGATGCAGTGCAGTATATCATTATGTTGGATGTATTAAGAGGTGACTCTAATATTAGTTACAAAGCTATTGCCACACCTTTTGGTCTACTTTCAGCAAATGCACTTTTATATTTCTCGCGTCCAGTCTACCAGTCTGTAATCCAATAAAGTATTATTACGTTGAGAGAGAGAAAATAAAAAGAGAAATAAAAGATACTTATTCGGGAGTTATATTTAAGAGACTGAAAAATACTTTATTTTTACTTTATTTTCGGACACTAATAAGATATTTACGTTGTATTGATATACAATCTTTATCTTTGAGAAAAAATATTTTTTCTAACTAAAAAAATACAAATTTGTATTCAAATCTTAGCTTATTCCATTGAAGGTAATTCTATTTAAATAAAAGAATGTAGATTTTTAAGTAAATACGTTATTGGTGTCCACCGAGTAAATATTTTTTATTTCTTCGATATTTTTTCTCTCAATGTATTATTGTTATCATTAGATTAATCTTTGGTTGAGTTGAAAAAACTATCTGTATGACATACATCATGACGATTGATTGTGCATTAATGAAAACTAACGAGACGTGGCTCGCGGTTACAGTGGAGAAAGCGGAGTTGGGAAAGCAGAGCATCCTGGAATTTCGCACTCTCCACGTGGGCGGATACCTGCACACGGGCGAGGAAATGCCGCATTTCGTGGGTCAGTTGCAGCAGATCTGGTTCAACGGGTATCCATATTTGGAGATTGCGCGCAGCGCCGGGAATCACGAGTTCTCGCATCAGGGTGTCACACCCATCATCAGGGTGACCGGCAAATTCGGCAAGAGGAACCATCCGGTGCATCGTCCGGTGACCTTCACCTCTAAGCACACCTACGTCGGTCTGCCGGTGCTCAAAGCGTACGTGGAGACCAACATCTACTTCCAGGTGAGCGCTTCGACCTGCGTTTGATCGCTGTGTGATTTACAGAAGTTCACTCGTATAAATAGTATTATCAACTAAGTATTATCAGCTCACTGTTATCAGCCAAATCTCAATAGCCGACTCGAGTTTAGCCAACTGGCTGACCGTATCGCTGTCGTTGCTAACGCGGGGTTGGCTGTTGCAGATAGAATGCACTCGCCGCGAGGTAAAACTTTATAAGCTGAACTGAAAGCGCGCATTAGCACGAATAGCTAAAACAGTGACAGCCATTCGCAAATATCTTATTGATGCACCGGGAAGAGAAATATTTGAAAAATTCATTTGCGAGATAGAAAGTTTATCTTCACAGAGAGAAACTTTATTTCACAGAAATAAGACAGAAATCAAATTTATATCCCGCGAATAAACCTTTAAGTAGATGGGAAAAAAAGATTTGCTAATATATATATTAGCAAATCTTTTTTTCCGTGTATTTTCTCTCGGTATAGCCCCTTCAGCCCCTTCAACCCCTTTGCCGCGTGTGAGCTCGACGACACACTTTGGTATCAATCTCACGTACCTCCCTGGTCCCCTTTCTCCGCGGAGGAGCCGAAAGTACCGAGTGCGTTTAGTGCGACACCCCCTACGGTACATGCACGTTACTTTTGCAGTTTAAGACACGCGAGGCGAACGGCTTGATCCTTTACAACGCCGGTAGAGAACGTGACTTCATCGCGGTGGAGCTGGTTAACGGACACGTACACTACGTGTTCGACTTGGGCGACGGGCCCGTCAGGGTCAGGGACGCCTCCAAGTCCAAGTTGAACGACGGCAAGTGGCACGCCGTCAGCATCGGCAGACCCGCCTCGAAGAAGCACACTCTCGCCGTGGACGACCACGTAACCGTCGGCAACAGCCCAGGCAGCAACGAGAATCTCGATCTCGACGGCATATTGTACATCGGTAAGTGCGCAGAGACTGCTGTACTGAGAGAAATTATCCGATAAATTAACAAACGGATATTTCCGATCAAAATACCGATTAATTTTTACATCCAATCAGAATATCCGATTGATCGAATATTTCCGATTGTAATGGCATTTCATCAGATAAACCGATACAAAAATTATGAACCGATATTTCTCATTGAATGTTTCCTAATTGGGTTGAAAAATTGATCGGTATTTCGATCGAAAATGTCCGTTTGTTGATTTCTTATCGAATAATTTCCCTCAGTGTATTATGATGACGCGCTATTATAAACACGAAAAGAAACGTTCTTCCTGCGGATATTTTTTCGTATTTATCTGATTCGCAGTTATGACAATTTGAGCGTGCGTGTGTACTCACACACGCACGCGCACATCCTGCTCTTGTTTGTCGCGTCCATATAGCGCGCACGGCAACACAATTAATTAGAATTCCGCGCCCGGCGATTCCATTGGAGAGATATTGCTACAATAAAATAACAGCATGTGCCCAATATTAATTTAATTTAATTAGTCAGCTGTAATTTACATCTGCAATCCGTCCACCGTGTACATAAGTTACGTCATTTGTGCATTCGATTCTTAATTAGTTCGATGAATGATTAAGTATCCTCCTTTAGCTCTCGCGCCGCATATATTTGAATTCTCGCACGTGCTCTCTCGTGCGTCAGTTAGCTAACGAAACGGATATTCCGGAGAAATGTTTCGGTTCGTTCCCTGCTTTCGCGGGCCACTGCTCGTCCGAACGGAGATATCCGGTTTGGATTTAGAGAAATGGCATACTTTGAAGAGTATTAAAACTTTATCGACGAAATATTGAGCTTTTTCTGCAAAGTTTATGTCGTGATTGCGCAGAATTGCAAACTTTCTTACACAATGAAAATTACACGTGCGAGACTGAATTGTGGAGCATTGCTCGATATACATGTGACAGAAACGATAAAGAGTCTCAAAGTTGATATTTCGAGTGTAAATCAGCCCGTCGGACGCTGTCAGTTAAAGTAAATATTCGCCTGATAAAAATATTCGCAGCTTGTATATGCTGAACGCGAGTTTGCTCCGAAAAATTTCAAAGAACATTGTCGTACTTTTACACCCGAATTTAGAAGCTTACAAATATCGGAAAAGTTCACAGAAACATTTCCATGTATGCGTGGTTAAGTTTTCCGCTAAATATGCTAAAACAGCAACATACATTAACGTAAAATTTATGTGCAGGGAATGGCAAAACGGTTCAGATGCAATGAAGTTGGGAACTTACTCAACTGTCAAAATTGGGAGTCATTACTGACGGGCTTGCCCACAGTCGTTATATTATTAATTATTATTGGTATTATTATTATTTATTAATATAGTATTCTTCATTATGTTATTATTGCGTAAATCTGTCGATAATGATCCTCAATTTTGACAGTTTGATGAGCTCCCAACTTCATTGTATCTGAACCGTTTTGTAACCCAAGTTATACAAGAAATACGAGATGGATAGCGTGATCGTGATTTTTCAAGTTCGCCATCCACTTCTCCTTAACTGACGCTAACGCGACCATTGTTCTGTTTCCGTGTGGCAAAATAGCGCGCGTCAGCGCGTATTAGGCGAGAGAGGGGGAGGGGGAGAGAGAGAGAGAGATCGTTCACTTTACCATTTGCAACGCGAATTCCACGCGCATTTACAGCGATGTTGTCAATTGCGGATGATGTCACACCTGTAGTAATTCCCGCCGAGTACACGCTTTATCTTGCCACGCAAATAACCCAGTGATTAATAGCGCACTATGTAGCACGGCGCGGTGTCGCTCAATAAGTTGCGACGCCTTTCCCCATAATTTGTCCGAATAAAATAACGCACACAACATACAATACACAATGCACGTCCGTGGCATGTGCACGCGCGCGCCGTGTTAGTGAGAAACTAATTAGTCCGCCTATATCGCGGGCGTACGTGTCAGTTAACACGTTGAATACCGCCACCGGTGGCCGGGCCGCTGTGATGCCACAGCGACTCATTAAGTTACACAAAGTTGCACGAAGTTCCATGTTATTTTATTATTCACGCATACAATCATTTATATGCGGTTTGTTATTTATACTTGTAGATATTATATTACACGTTACATTATGTACGCGGAGCAAATATTGTAACAAAAATTACGTTAAAATTACGTTTTCTTCCGCATCATTTTTCGTGAACTGAACTGGAATTTCACTATAAATTATTATGGAAATAGTAAGTTTCACGATCTACTTGATATATGATATAAAAAGACGCTCAAGTAATTGCAATAATTTTGTAGCAAAATGTCAAACGTATGTAATTTCTTTTGAGAAATATAATTCTATAATTCTGCATGGTCCAAGATTGCCGAAATTTTGCTGCAATTTTTACTGCAATCCTTTCTCCGCGTACAATTATAAATTTATTTTAATATCTCAATTGTGTGAGAAGAATCGCGATTGTACGGTCAATAGAGAGCCGATAGAACGCGATAGAACGCGCGAGATGAAAGGTACACGCGTCTCGAATGTCTCTCATTTATTTGCCGCGTCTTTGGCCATCAATCAAGCTTTTGTACAATCGACGGAAATCAACGAAGCAATCAACGTGTTAAGTGAGACTACATCGTTCATTGATGAAACGTGCTTTGCAGGATGCGTATTCTATGCTCTGTAACGCGTTTTACTCGCAACAGAGCGGCGCATATTCACAAGTCGCCGAGTACCGTCGTCGGTTTCGATCGGAATCGATCTGGATCATCCGGGCGCCCGCGCTCTTCTGCCGCTTTTGCGTTCTGCAACAGATAAAACGCGCGACGCGTTCCATTACTGATCACACGAAAGCAGTCGTGTACTCAGAGAAGAAAATAATCACCGATCTCGCTACAAATTACAGTCATTCCGCCGCCAGCCGTTCCGTTTCGTTGCTTTGGCAAGGAAAAGTGACAGCAGCGATACGCGTATAAGTTTCGTAGGGTTGCGCATAATCAACTCTGTCATAGCTTCCCCCGTCTCATATGCATACATCGTCGCTGCTACTCTCTTTGTCAGAACACCAAGGAGATATGGTCGCCGTCGAAATTGATTATAATTCCCGCGAGATTAACCGTCTCTTCCTTCCGGGGCGAGTGTGAGGATAAACACCACAACAACTCACATTCCAAGACGGGTCTGCAACGTCCTATGCTGTCCGGTTTCTCTCCGTCCCGGCAAAACGTAGGCGCGACGATGATATTCCTGGAGTCGATTCCCGTAGTCTGATCGGGCATCACGATATCGTCATAGTCGTCGACATTTTCGTCCTCGTCTTCTCGCGCGTTTTCCCCCGGCTTCTCGTCGTTCTTCAGTCGAGCGAAAAGTTTCCTCTCGTCAGTCGCCAAGCTAGAATGCGATTCGCGACAAGTTATTGTTTCGCGAGACGCGTCTTCGGTCTCTCTCTCTCTCTCTCTTTCTCACTCATACTTGTACTCACTTGTACTTGTAATTTGGTCCAAAGTATTTGTACCCTGTATCGTCATCCAAATAGTACCAATTCTCGTCCGGCGAGACTCGACCCTTCAACAGGTGAATCTCTATCTGCGGCGCTCGGTCCTCGCCGCTCTGCACCGTTCTCCACTTGTTCAGTGTTCTATCCGGATTCTCCGCCGGTTCCTCCGGCAAGAGCCGCAGGATCAGCAGCTGCGACTGTTGCGTGGCCGCCGACGACGTCGTCGTCGAGAAGCGGACGATCATGACGATCAACAGCAAGACGCGGGGCACGCGAGGACGCATAGTGAATACGCGCTATAATGATTTTCGAGAAGAATAAAAATTAAAAAAGAAGGAGAGGAAGAAAGAGAGAGAGAATTATTCAGTCTCCTGGACTTGGGTGGTTCCACGACACGCTGCGCGGCAGCAATGACCGCGATTGGCAGTCGGTCCGACGTTGAACGCTTCACCACTGCGAATAGTCGATCAATAATGATCCCACTAGACTACTATCGCGTTATCAGCTCCGCTGATTTCTGTGAACTTAGCGCGGGCGTCGCGATCGAATCCCGAGCTCGATATAATAACTCAAGCCGGGTTGGCACACCTTCGGCGTGGCGGGCGCACGGACGACAACTGTCTCCGTGGAAGCGCGAATCAATTGGCTCGCGAACTCACGTGTCTCCCCTACGTGCTTCCGCAACTTCTTGCCGCAGCGCGCGGCCGCAAGTATGAGATTAAATTCGCGAGTAGACGGCACGCGCCGTCGCCGGCGATTAATGCGATTTAGTGACGGCGCGACAAACACGGCCTGTCGTACGAGATAAACGAGTCAGCTGGCTGATAAGGGCGAACGCCGGTTCTTTCCGTGCGTGGATGTGGTTAACCGCCGCTCGCAATTAGTCGTGATAATTCGCGATGGGCTTGCGCGGGCCGCGGCTGCAGCCCGCTCCACCACCTGTTCAATCTTAATCCCGCGTTTCGCATTGCAACTCTACGTGCGACTTAATCCCGACGCCAGTCTCGCCCTGGTCCCAAGTGGGCCCCGTGGTGCCTCCCGCAGCTGTGCGTTTTGTCTCGCCGTGCGGGTCTCCCCGGACGACAGTTCCGTGTGACAACGGCGATCGCGTGTTCTCTTTAATCGCGCCATCAGGCGCGGGAATTACTTCGGATCCTTTCCGGCCTGCGTGACGCAACCGCAACCGATTAATTCGAAGGTTGCGGCACCGACGGACAGGCTGCGTCTCCGGGCCGCGCCAGCTGTCGCGCATCGTTCGGACGCTGAACTCGTGAAACTCGTCAATTTTCCCAATCGCTCCCATCGCGATATGATCGGTTGCAATATGGCACGATGTAATGCGACACCGTATGATGTATCGTGAATGGTCGAAATAACAATTAGCCGATTAATCAACAGTCATAATGTACACGCATACATTTGCCTGTACATTACACGATGAGGAAGATTGAAATGACTGCTGGTGAGTTTTGGTCTGGCGAGTGCGCAAAGCTACCTTTGGAGAGCAACCCGTCGTCTCTGCTCATTTTGACAAGTAGCCTCGTCAGCGTTGCTCAAGAAGCAACGAGTCGTTTCTCTTACTTCTTTCGCCGAGTTTTTAAGACCGTGATCCACCACACGTAGCTACGAACCAGCATAGCTCTGGGAGCGATGAAAAAACGCAACAATGTAAGAAGTTCGTGTCGTGAATCGGTTGATCTAATCTCTGTAATAGGAACGTCTATGGAGCTATCCTGCTATCTAACTACTCTATTATCTACGAGGCTAAATGACACTTACGCAAGCAATGTCGCGACCGCGTTATGTATTAGAGTTGAATTAATGTGTATGTTGCTGAGGCACGGGAAGCGTTGCTGAAATGTTACATGTGTCCGACCGGTAATATTGTTTTATTTATAACATCGATTTCACTCCATACATTTTCAGTATATTGAAATCCTACCCGAAGTGGCGTCGCTAAACGAAGACTTGATGATCGTTCAGTCTCTCACTTTCCCAACTCTTTTCTGGTTTGGTTGGTCTGTAGCAGAAAAATTATACAAGACATTAAGTTGATTTATCGAATACAATGTTCCAGCTTAATATTCCGTTTTAACCCGGACGTGGCAATTTAGGTCTTTCTAAATTCGTTGAAGAGCACATTCGAGGTAAAAATGTTCACTCACATGACGAATCTGCATTTTCCGTTAATGTCCATCCGTTCGCCTTCCTGGCAGTAGGTGGGCTCTTTGATAATATTCCGAAGTGGGACAAACTTCTTACGCGTTGCAATGTTATTCTGCGCTCTGCCCTCCTCTCTCTCGTTCGCCGCTGATCTCATCCTCGCTGCGACGCTAATCGATTCGTGACAAAAGCCGTACTGAGACTACCGCAATTTACTCTAATGTCAGTTGGCGAGGAAAATCCGACAACGCTTAAACTCGGGAAAGTTTGCACAAAGAGAATTACACACGAACTTAATGATATCGTTTACTTTTGTTTTGGCGGACAAAAGCGGTTCAAAAGAGGTCAAAGCAGTCTTTCAAGAGAAAAGTGTAATTTTCCTACTGATATATCTGACACGCCACAGATATTTCGAACACAAAGTTCAATAGCATTTTCTGTATATTTTATAACATCGTGGTAAAAAATCATATTTGTTCGGGGATATTCTCCCATCGCTGTGTTATAAAATATAAAGAGGCTGTGAAATATTGTACGTAACAATTCTCCAATATCCCTTATGACTATACAGAGATCGTGAGGATCTTTTTTGAGGGGAACCCTTAAAATTAGTTTTCAGCTAGAGAATAAACATGTCATACTAAGAGAAATTATCTGATAAGAAATTAACAGACGGATCAATCCGATTAAATTTAATTGAATACTTCCGATTATAATAGCATTCCATCAGATAAACCGATCAGAAAATTATAAACCGATATTTCTTATCGGATATTTCTTGATTGGAAAATTCGTCGATATTTTGATCGGAAATATCCGTTTATTTAATTTCTTATCGAATAATTTCTCTCAGTGCATAAAGTAAAGTTCACTTTATTTCTGCAACACTCAATCTTCCCGAATTTAACGAATGCCAAGTTCTACGACGCTCGCGCGAGACATTTGGAAAAAGCGCCGCTACGTCAAATTCTCGCTGTCAGTTATCAGTATGCGATATACACACCGACTTGCGCGTGCGATGATATATCACTGTTTATACATACCCGAAATATTTGTCGAGGTATTCGAACTCATCGTTGGAATCTAGTCCCAACTTGTCGTTCGAGAATGTTTTCTCTCCCAGCTCGTGGGCCTCCGCTGTTTGGAGTTCCGGATACAGCATTCTCCACCTGTCTGACAGATCTTTCAGATATATATTCCAGACCATGCTTATCGGTTTCGGTGAGATCTTAAGGGACGATTCCTGCGACTCGACATCGGTCACTGCCGACATGGAGACGCAAACGATCGAGATGAAGGGAAGAACGAGACCGCGAAGGCGCATGATAATTTCCGAAGACAAAAATGTAATATTGCTGAATGCTATACTGCTATGGTGTCGCTGTTATATTACTGAATATATATAGTACTGAATCTCTGAAGGCAAAAATGGAAGGTACTGCTGAAGCTTTTCCGAGCCCGCGCGCACTTTCAGAGACGGTACATCGACGACTAACTGAAGCGCGATATCGGTTTCGTGATTTTAACTAATCACAAGACACCATTTTCTACGGCCAACATCCGGCCTTCTACCGCAGTGCATCCGCAACTGTCGCGATAAGATTCTGGAAACTGGATGATTTACGCTCGCTGCCATTAAAGCAGGTTACGGGGTGCCGACAGTAGGAAAAATGAGATGAAACTTGGACAGTTGTGAAAAGTTGTAATTTAATAGAAATATGAATTTTTATGAACAATCACACGTGTCTGTTAATAATATCTCGGTGTAAAAAAGCGAGATTTTATAATGAATAATGACATTCTCCGCTACTGTGTCCATTTCAACTCTGTCCCGTAAGTGAATTCATGTTTCAACGGTAACCGTCCTGGCCTGAATAAGAGTGATCTGAATTCAATATCGGTACATTTTTTTTATTCATTAGGATTATAGATATCGGTTCTCACGAAGTGAATTTTGAAAAAGAGACAACATCTCGCAAAATGGGAGTTATAGAAAATCAGATTAATTTTTTCACTAAAAAAATTCGAGCGTGTGAAATAAATGAATAAAAGATAATTTTGAAACTTGAGAAAAGTCCCCGCGAACCGATAGTCTTAATAAATAAAAAGAATTTATCCTCAGAAGGTACTGATTTCAGATCGCTCTTGTTGAGACCAGGATGGTTACATTGAAGCATAATCGGTGGAAACTAATTCCCACTTGTCACTCGGGCTTTTACAGAACATAATTGAAACGGACATAGAATGATATCTACCGTAAAATTTAATTTTTTATATCAAGATTGATTAGCGGATATACATAACTAGAGATTTATACACATTGATTTACAACTTTTTATAACTCCCGGAAGTTCGCTTAGCTTTTACTCCTGTCAAGGTCCTACAACCTCTTAATGTGACTGAATAGCAACGTGACAAACGTGTCACGCCTAATACACGATATACCTGGCTGATAAGAACCATTGAAGGAAAAAGTGCGCATGGATGTGGTTAACGCTTATTTAATTATTCCTCAAGCAGGATACGCGGGCTATCAAACCAAGACCCTAGCCTGGGACTTTCCGCAAGAGAAAAAGCGTGTAGGAGAAGTAAAGAGGAGGAAAGGAAAACGGAAGAAGAGTTTCAAGCGGAACGCTGAGTCCCGCGTCACGAACGCATATTCAAATTTCCGTCGGGCCGACGCCTCGCGTCGTGAACATTTCCGCGGTCGATGGCGCGCTTAATAATGTACGAAGGAAGAAATAAATAACTCGATAGGCTCGTTGAGCTGCTCCACGCCTCGCGCCTGATCGATAATTATTTCGAAAGCCCCGTCTCGCCGACGCGAAGCCTCGCGACAACGATAATAGATTGTTGATCATGAGGGATGTGCTCTGTAAATTTCCTGGAGTGAATCCTCACTGCAAAGGAGAGAGAAAATTCACTGTAAACGACAGTGACAAGTACCGCCACTCCGAATCGAGTGACATTTTCACAAGAGTGAACGTTTCGCTCGGTCGGAGGAAATATTCCACTTTTATCGAGTGAAACATTCTTTAAAGTGGTTGGATTAAGTAAACATTATACTAGCTGACAGCTTGAGATCTTACATTTCAAATTTTTTTTTCCGTTTTTGTCACATATCAGGCTATTTATTTTTCCACGTACTTTCATTGCATAAAGGCATTTGTAATTCTGTACAACCAATGCGACGTAAACTTTGCAGAAAAAAAGCCAATACTCTGTTGGTAAAGTTTTCAACAACATCCCCTTAAGCTTTGAGCCTTAAGCCGTGAGAAGTTGACCAATCACAGTTCAATATGAGGAAAATCGATTGTAATTAGTCAACGTTCTTACGGCATAAGACTTAAAGCTTAAAGGGATGCTGAAGTTGAAAACTCTGCCGACAGAGTACTGACATTTTTCGGCAAAGTTTACGTCGCATTAGTTGTACAAATGCTTTTACGGAAGTACGTGCAAAAATAAATAGGAACATTGCTCAATATGTGACGAAAACGAAAAGAACATTTCAAATGTAAAATCTCAAGCTGTCGGTTGACGTAATATTTGTCTAATTCAAAAGTTCCGCAGCTTGTGTATACCGAAAGTGTGGATGCTCCCCGAACAGAAATATTTTAAAGAACATTGCTGTACCTTCGTATCTGAATTCAAAAGTTTAAGAATATCGGAAAAGTTTGCAGGAAGATTTCTACACGTGTGTGCGTGGTTAGATTTTCCGCTGAATATGGTAAAACAGAGCAACACACATTCACGTAAGTTCTGTGTGTACAAGAAATACGAAAAGAACATTAAAACCTGTGTCACACTACGGATTGGAAATGAAGAATTGCGGAGAGAAGATTAGATTTCGACGAATCAATGCACTTTGGTTTTGGCCTGCTTGGCTCCAATTAGTCAAGTTCCAATCTTCAATCCGCAATCCTCTATCTCCAATCCGTAGTGTAACACGAGTTTAATGCCGGTATTCATAGTCGAATCTTATTTCAAAACCGTCTTAAGTAATGTCTTAAGATGCGAATACGACTTTATGATTGGTTCATGACATCTTAAAACAGTACTTAAGATGACCTTAAATATAAGATCTGACTATGAATATCAGCCTATCACAACAAATGATTGTGTTAGCGACGATCGTCCCTACATTATCGACATTTTTGGAGCTCGTTATCGACTCCAGCATCCCCTCAAATCTGAAGTGTAGCTTAAGGGGGGAAATCCAATTAGAACTTTCAAAAAATCGAATTTTTTTTTTT